CAGGCTTCGTAAGTACTATATGGCATTACCAAGCCTGCGAATTTTTTTGAGAAAGTGCCTTCAGACAAAAGCAGCTAAATAAGATGACGCATGAAGCACAAGGGTCATTTTAATATACTTATGCATTTATATATAAATGCTCATGACTATTATTGAAACAGAGTACCCAACCCAGACCGCTCCAAAGTGTTTGCCCTTTCCTCCAGCAAATACTTTATGTAATGCTATTCTATTTTTAGGTTCCCATCATAATAATCTATAAAAATGTAATAAATATCTCAAAAATAAATAGTTGTTGTGAACAGTGAACTATTATTCTTCCCAGAGAGCAAAGAGTCTTTAAAATATGAGGACTCAAGGGTAAAGGTCTCAGAACGCTGGATTATTGACAATGATGGATGAGCTCTTTACCTAAAAAAGGATTCCGTGTTCTCATAAAGTCCTGGTGTCAGCTTGAGAGAAGGATAATCAATAGCCAGTGGCTTCACACTAAACAAGGCCATTGCCATTGCAACAAAGAGAACAGGCAGCAGAACGTTTGACAGACTCCCTCTCCAGTCTCGCCTAGAGTGGTGAAACTTCTTCATCAGAAGAGCAACAATCTGTGTGAAAACAAGGCTGGCTCCATGTACACTAGAGGCACCCGTAAGTGAGATATCTGAGTTTAGGGAGGGGGGTGGGGGAAGGAGGGAGAGAGAGATCTCTTAACAAACATTAAGAAAATCAAATTAAATTTTCACATGCTACATATACAAATATAGAACACAACAGCCTCTTTGATGGAGAAGCAAAACTACACAAATTTATACTGGTCTTCTGGATGGAGGACCACAATCCCCCTAGTATAGCTAATTAGTTTTTGCCTATAAAGGGAAAACAGATGTTCAGCTAACATTACATCTCATCTCCATAGCTCCCTGTACACAGCTAAAAGAGTACTGAATGTCTCTTTTCCTCTAGTCCTCACACGGGTGCAACCGCTGCCTCTGTGTTGCCACCTTTGCTCCTAAACAAAGGATGATGACAAACTCAGCCTATATTAGCATGAAGGTCTTGATCCACCTCTGACTGAAATCCACAGCAAGTTTTCCATAGGGATTTCAATGAGATGTCTTCTGAGAACGTAGCAGAGCATCACAGATGCAAGACGTGAGAAATCCCACAAGAGCACTCCTTTCATTTCTTTGCCCACACAGGACTGCTAACATTTCCTAATGCATTAACTAAGGCAGTTTGCATAATTCCAGTTTACGGGCTGTCCCTCACACTCCTACAGAGAC